TAGTAATAAGAATGGAAGAGAAGCACAATTCTGGGAATTACGTTCCCAAAGACTTTCTCTCTTGTTAACTGATGAATGCCATTTAAAAAAAAAAAAAAAAAAGAAGTACTTCAAGTCTAGCTTTGCAAAAAGGAAGCATAAAGGGAATGCAAAAGGCCAGTGTGAGAGCTACCAATATCAAGGATGAAGTTCTGCACAAATAACAGTACATGCATTTGCCCAGCTGACAGGTACCTAATGCACAAATAGAATCTCCAGTGCTAGACTACTCCTTTGTGTTCAAAAATACCAAGAGAAGTACATCGTGGTGTGAACGAGCTCTCTAAGGTCAACCTTACCAGAAGAATTTTTCTATTCTCTTTAAAGAGTATGTGTTCATCAGCACTTTTTCTGAGCAGGAGTTAGGAAGCTCATCTCAGTTTGACATGGAGCATTACAAATAGACATGGAGTACTACCAATAGAAAATCCATTAGCCATTAACAAACAAGGTTTGAAGAGAGAAACTGTATCCTATAAAGCAGTATTTAGGGCAATTGCATTTTAATATAATGAAATACTGCACCTCTGGATGTAAGAAAACTCTGCATTGTTTGCAAATGCACTTAAGCCTTTTAAGCAGACCATCATCTTTCCATAAGTACAGCAACAAAAATGACAGCCAGTAGGGAAAAATTAAACAATACTGAAATAAAGCTTAAATGGATTAACTTCAGGAGATTCAAAAAATTAAACAGTGATATATTCTACTATTTTAAGTCTTTAATACAAATTAAATTATGCTACTGTAGAAAACTACATGTTATCTGTTGAAAATTCTTTAAAGGGATAATGCCCAAACTTTCCACTCTGGAACTGGTACTCACACTGCACAACAGCAGATTCCATTAGTCCCACAAGGGTACCAGCACAAGACAGATGCTAGTGGTGGAGATTATGCTCTTCCTTTTTAACTTGCTCACAGAGACCCTTGTTTAATTCCCCTGGTCCTGCCATCCAGTCCTAAAGGACTACCAAAATTTCCAAGCAGATAAGTGATGTTTTTCCTCTCACTGATGAATGAATCCTGCACACAATGGACAACAGAAATCTGTAGTGAAAAAAAAGGAAGCTGTATTCTCTGTTTGCACAGGCATTTGGCTTACACAGTGCATCAGGCTGCAGCTCCCAGGATCCGGGCCATGCTCTCCAAAGCCACGAAGCAGCCTGCCTATTCACAGAAGAATAGCAGGGCAATTCAAAAAGGACAAAGCACAGATTTATTATATAGTATGGCAAAACCACTTCCAAAAATACATTCTATCCTTTCATTATATTCAAAATTAAAATGTTGCCCACAGGGGAGCATAAGATGTTAGTCAAAATGTAATGTATCCCTCACAGGAAGCATTATGCCTTTGTTTCCTAAGCATCCCTTATCTCATTTGCTGATGGGGTTCTACCGTGCTGCTGTTTCCATTCTCAAGCAGAAGTCTTCCTTCCAGTAACAAACTGAAAGCAATATGCAGGTGACACCAGCCACATCCCTCTCTCAGGCCAGCGCATAGGCCTTCGAGATGCTGTAATTCAGTTTAGGGTATCTGCTGGATATGTCACTGGCATTAAAACAAGAGACAAGCCTTTACACAGACTTCAATTCTATTTCATAAAAGGCATCTAAGCAGCATTTACAGCTTTCAACTTGCAAATATAAAAAATAATAAAAAAAAAAACATGACAAAAAACACTGATACTGGCTTCATTTGTAATATTACAATTCTGCTACAATATTGCGTTTTCAGGCAGGTAATCAAAGCCACCTTTCTTCTTAAAGGTATAGAAGGTTTTAATATGGAAAACCATTAAAAAAAACTTTTTTTTTTTGTGTTTTCGTATAATGTTTTTCTCACATTAAAAACTAACATTTATAGTGCCCAAAGCATAAGACAAGACAGTAATACAAAGAACAGACTTGGTTTGTTTGTTTTTTGTTTTTGTTTTTGAGTTGCACAGATGTAAATAAGCAACATTACTATTCAGAGTATTATTGACAATGTTTAAATGGATTCAAACACCTGATAAATTTCACTGCAGCCTGCTTACATGACATGCTGTTTCTCAGCAGCAGCGCAGGCCCATGTACCAAATATTCTAGTATGATTTTGTTTCAGTATTTTGCCACAAAGAGTGGCAAATAAAATAATGGAAAACGCTTCTGTCATGGCAGGGCTATCACGTTTGAATGTTGCAGATGGGATTAGACTTGCCAGATATGTTTAAAACTGAAATTTATGCACTAACTTGTCAAGGTACAAGGACAGTGTTTTTATGCGACTCATATTCTTTCAGTTTAGTGCTTGAAAAAGGAGGGAATTGGCTCAGAAAGGTGAAAACACAAGAAGGACTGGTGCCACACCAGTCTTGACCTGCTAAATCCCTGAAAATACAGGGCTAGACTGAAACACTGACTAGCAGTAATGAAAACAGAAACTGGTCCTCCATTCTCATAGCTCAGTGAAGCAAAAATGAGACCCAAAATGTTGTCACTATTTCTTGTACTCCCAATTTCTTAGTACTGTACACAGAAGTTAAAAATATTACATCACTGCACTTTGGCTAATATGTACTTGCTAAAGTAAATCTGTGTGCCATAAAAACATTATTTATTTAAAGCAATGGGATTTCCACTTACTCCTAAATGAGCAGATGTCATCCCATATATTGTAGACTTCTCAGAAAGGAGCTGAGTGGCAAATTGACATTTTCCAGATATTAAATGTCCCTTGGTCGAGTGCACGGTATTCTCTTTCTTTGTTTACAAAAGTGAGAGTTCATAATAGGAATCAATCTTTCACTTAGTCATCTTATTGGATCTTTGTTCAACTGAATTAATAGAGCAAAGATTAAGAAAACAATACTTCTAGAAAAGTTCAACACTTCTCATATATATATATATTTACACACTAAAAATACTAATATTCAGCATTACATTTTGAGAACAGTATTATTTGCTCTGTTCATAAAGCAGTGGCGAAGTGGCTGATAGTTTTTCTTCCAGCCCTTTTTAGAGAACATTACGAACCTTCATAACCAGAACATTGTACATGTTGTATTTTAAATACTGCAATTATTGGACAGTGAAAAGAAAACCAAAACAGGAGAAATATGAAAGTTGTATTTTGGCAACACTTCAACTAGACACTTCTTGTCTGCCTACAAAGACAGAACACTGCTGCAGCACTTGTATTTATATTTCAGCTATATCACAGTGTCCTGAACCACAGGTACCAGGTTTTACTCTAAACAAACCACATGTGAAAAGCAGACTCGGATCTGTATTCACACACTTCTTCACATCTATGTGAACACAGACTTTTTTGGCTTAAAGATTTCAGCCTGGACTTAACCGTACGTATAGCCCAAAAGCATTATAGGAGAAAGCCATCAAGTGGGAAAGTATCCAGTTACTCTGTGTGTCCAATCATTCTAAAGATATTAGCGGTTAACACAGATCACTCAGACAGGAAAATAAGCAAAAGAAACTGAAATGAATCACACCAATCTGAATTGGGTTTACATACAAATGATCTTAATAACAAGAAATTATCTGAGAAATGAAACACTCACCTCACATTTATTTTCCTCATGATTAACACAAACTACTTCTTGGACATTAAGAATGGAATTTGGTTGCTTACTGAGAAGTGTCTAGTAGCCCTTTGGGCATGCTCAAGTATGCTTTCTGGCTTCCTTTTGCCATTTTGGCAGTGCAAGGAACCCCACTTACATTTGCATGGCACCTGTTAGTGCTGGGAAAAGTCCTAGGGAAGAACGCCAACTGATTCAAGCAACCATCAAAGAAAACAGACTTATAGCTGTGAGTGGAACAGACCACAGAGCTGAGCTTCTTCCTCCTATAAGGCATACTCCTTCACAGAATGCTAATCTGGATGCACAAATCAATCCTGCTCAGCAGATCTGATACATCCCATCTCTTCACTCAAACTTACAAGTTCCATCTACTGTTGAAGCAGTTACTTGCCTCCAAGATTAAAAGAATTCTGAGGACAAGCACTACACAAGTGATGGCAGCTCTCAGATTGCACCTTGAACAAAGACTGCAGTCCTACTGCAAAGAAGTAAGAAGAATTCAGGAAAGATCAAAAAAAATATGGAGGAAAGAGTATTTCACATATGCTGGAGTAAAACTTTTCTGACTAATGACAGTTGTAGCATACAGTCATTTACCAATGTACGTCAAATATATGTCAGACTGAAAAGAATTTACCAATTATCAGAAGAGAAAAAGGCTATAACTAGAAATAATGACTTTACAGGAAAGTAAAATGTAACAGCACTTTTAAGCAGGGAGTTCTATCAGAATATGGAAAAACTTTTTGTGAAAAACCCTACTCCCTGAAAAATTTTGAATAAGTGACCTGGTGTACATCGCACAAAGCAATGTGTTTTCGTAAGAAACAGAAGTACATGTTATTAACCACAAGTTAAAAAAAACATGCTTATCTCCCTGTTCAGCCTCCAACCTTGTGCAACACTGATGATTCCACTAGGCCAAACTATGGCAGAGATGATGCTGACTGGGAGAGAATAGGAGGCCTGTCACCATCATGGTGTCTGCCTCAAATCTTATTGCCATGTAAATATTATTAGAAATAAAACTACGTATAATCTTAGGCTATTTTAAAGACTACCTTGAAACCATCAAGAAGTTTATCTGGAGCAGAAAAGGACACAACATTTACAATTTCAGCTTTCAACTTTCAGTTCTTTGATCAGTTTTCTTTTTAGAAGTTTACCAGGGAAAGCATGCTACAGTTAGTTTGATGTATACTTCTTACTGCTACACTTTTATGTGAAGTTACTCTTACTGAACTACACAGTAACTTTGGAAAGTAAAACAACGGATGTGAATTAAAAGCTCAGGTCAATCTGTTACTTTGATTGCAAGCTAAATTAGGACTAGCTTTTGATCTGTCTTTGTCAAAATATTCAAACACTGCCTTCACAATTAACTATCTTTCTGTCAAACATTGTCACCTTACCGCAGCTTACGAAAGCATCTCAGAAATGCAGCTTTCATCTGACCTACATATCGGTTGCTCTTTTATGTTCCCACTTGGCACACGCAGCGCTCTGCTGCATAGAGGGAGGATCCCTACGCTGCTGTTGTATCAGTGCGCTGTGATTAACAAGCAGCTTAAGCGCAACACAGATACTATACAGCAAAGCAAAATTATGTATAACACTCAATGCTATTTATGCATCCCTTCTTTAGGCAAGGAACTCGGGAGTGACTTAATTTATCGTCATTGATCTCCTTTTCCCAGCGATCTTCGCTTTCCCTCACACCGCACGTTTCTGCACCACCCCCCTGGCTGCACCCCCACACAAGGCTTCTGGCACAGAGCTCCGTGAAGCAGCGTCAGCGTTACATCAGCTGGGAATCTCCTCTGCCACACGCAGCAGAGACCGAGCGCAGGGCTGCCTGCCTTCAGCAGCTCTTTTTGCTCAGGAAAGCTGCGGCTCTTCCTCCCAAACAAACAGTAACGCCAAAAGACGCTCGAAATCAAACCAAACCAATTATATACTCATCAACAAAACGCGAAATTATCCGTGTTACCACCCGCCAGCCGCAGGCGCACAAATACGAAATGCGCAGTCACCGATATTCCGACACGGTTGCTCTGTGCCGCCATCTACAGATCGAATCGGAATAATAAAATTAAATCTAACTTTCGGATACACGTGTGATACAGTCTGAACAAACCCAAGTGGAACATCGACACCTCGGACGCGCGGCGCACCGCGCAGCTCAGCGAGACCCGTGCCGACACCCGCGTGCTCCTCACGCACAAACCGCCGCTCCTCACAGCCTGCGGGATGACTCACGTGAGACACGGCAGCACGACCGCACCGAGGAGCTCTCAGCCCGCGGACACACAGCAGCCTGCGTGTGAAGGCTGGAATCTACCTAACCTTAGAACCGACTGTGACCCCTGAAACGCGAACAGCGCTGTACCGCTTTGCCGTGAAACACGCTGGGCTTCGAGAGCCGTGCGAGCAGCAGAGCGGAGCGCCGCCCCGTGGCAGAACGCGCTACGACGAGCCTCGCGCCCCTCCGCCTCAACGGTCTGCGCGCGACAGGCGGGAACCGCCCCTCCCGAGGCGCGGCTGCGGCCGCACCCCAGGCTCCGCTCCCGGTCCGACTTTTGCAGCCGCGGCGTCAGCTCGCGCCAGAACCACAAGCGGCACGGGGCCCACGCGCGCGGTCACCCAGCAGCCTCCCAGCAGACAGGGAGATTGGCTGATGCTGTTTCTGTCATCCAGCAGCGGCGTGGCGTGGACAGATCAGCACCTTTCTGATGGTCCTGCTAATAAGCTACAGGAGAAGCTAGTCTGAAGAACTCCCGTATCCTTTCCTGCAAGACCGAGGCGTATTTAGCAATTCTGAGCAAAACACACCGAATGCTTGTGGCTACAGCTGCAAGAGCTGTGCTTGTAAACATGCAGCTTGTCATGTATTGTGCATCTTGTGCAAAGCAGGTTAAAAACAACTGATCTTCAGTGACAGGCAAAACTAATACGGTTAAGGTAAAGAAGCAAACTTGGAGATGGTTACCACTTTCGAGGAGATGCACACGAGTTAACGTGCAGATGATCCGCCTCGTTTCCATTTACAGGAGTGAGAGTGAACATGAGAAAATACAGATGTTAGAATTGGAACATGACACAGCCGGGCTGGTTGCCGAGGAAAGGCAGCACAGCAGCCAGGTAGAGACTGTTTTTCCATAGTAACAACCAATATTGCATGCATTTCTGGGGGTAAGCCAGTTACCATTCCCCCTCCCCCCCCAAAGACAGGATAGTATGACATTCACAGGAAAATAGGCAAAAAAAAAAAGCAAAACAAGACAAGTATTAGCTTTTGGATGTGGAGCAGGAAAATTGTTATCTAAGTGCTGAACGGGATGAGCAATTGTTCTCCCTAGAGAAAGATTCCTTAGCACAGGTGAAAGTTTTGATGTCAGGGGCTATATCCAGAAAATAGAGATTCATGAAGCATACAGAGCTATTTTTAGCTTGTATGAATGAGGATGGATGGCTGTGAAAAGCAGGAAGCCCAGGAAGTTGCTTTCTTTTCCCCCTTCCCTCCGTAATACTTAGCTTAAAAATAATTATCCAAACACAAAGCAAAGAGCGTTTTTTCCAAGACTCACAGTTACACGACAAGTTCTGATCCATCTGACTAACCTAGTTAGTGGACTGGCTTCAGAAGTATTCTCATCTATGTGCTTGTGCTCAGGACATTTCTATCAGACAACTGGTAAGCAGAATCACTGCTTACAAAATACTCCTGAAAAAGCTTTTTCATTTGGGTAAATATAAATCTGATCTGTTGCTCCTGCACAATTGGAACTGCTTTCTAAAACATTACAAGTTGCCAGGACAGACAAAAATACATTTGCTCTTCATTTGAAAGAAGCATGCAAGTCAACAATATCCTGCAAAGCAAACTGATCCAGACTCAGTATGACCCAAAAGGCAAAGAAACTGAGCATCAGTGGACCTGAACAAAAACTCCATGCTGAAATCTGACCAAAGATCAATAGCAGTTACATTAACTGCAAGGCCTTTCCTGTCCTACCCTCTCTCTTCCTCCCTCCTATATAAAATACAATGCCAGAGAGACCTGTTTTTCCCCCCACACCATAGTTTTTATAGCTGCATTTACCTACCTGCTGATTTTGCAGATAGTTGATTTAATGATCAACTGTGCCAAAGGCTGATCACTATGGTGATTAGCCTCCTCTCATTCTTAATAGTTGAGTAAAACTTGAGTTTTGACTTATACCCAATCCCAAATGGGAATCTAGGTTCCTCTGCAACTCTGTCACCTGCTTGTTCTCCTTTCTCCAATGAAGCATGTTATCTTAACTTCAGTCTTTCACAGGACAAGAAATAAGGATACAACTTGCAGATATTTGTAGAAATAGTTCCAATGAAACAGCAAGTCTGAAGAATTCAGGAAGTTTTCTTGTTTTTTTTTTCCCCTCTTTCAACAATTACCAAGAAATAGAATCTTAACCGAGGGAAGCAGAAGCAATAAGAGTACTATCTGGAGAATAATTATGAACAGGTGAGCTTTCTTGACTAGTCCCCTGACAAGTCTGACCTGACAAGAAGTTACTGGAATTCTTGTGCTGTCTTCTGTGTTGCATTATCTTGTGTTGTCTACAGCACATCCAAAAAACTGTGTCAGAGTTAAATAGTTTGCACAGTGAGATGCAAAATATTATCAGAAAACCAACCTAAGGTGCAGTGCAGAACAGGCATCCAGAGCTGCAGCTAGAAGTGGAGATAATGGGAGAGTAGCAGAGGGAAGACAGACATCAGGTGAAGTGCTAACGGTGTGAATAGGTGGCTAGACTCCTGTGGAAGCATTTTATGAAAAGACAATGCAGAAGAAGTGGTAGAAAGACTTTATGAATCTCACTTTAAAAAGTGTTTCTGTAAGTCTTAAAGTATCTGCTCCAGGAAGACCAAGCAACATTAAAGTCAGATACAGAAGTGTATTCTTTAAATGATAAAACTCTCAAACTTACAAAATTCTTTACAGTAAAAATTGGAGATCTATTATATCGCAGATTTTTACTTGTAGCATGAAAAGAATTCCTAGAAGATACTATTTTTTCTACCTAGATACTAGAAAAAATGGATGAACATCTGAAGAAATGTAAAGCAGCAGCAGAAAGTAAACTGAAAAAGTCCGTTACAGAATCAGAACAGGTGAGAGTAGTTGTCAATAGAACTATGAGTCATTAGAAGCAGCAAGATGATATTTCTGTCTATGCACCAAGTAACCCTTTGTATCACAAATAGAGGCCTCTCAGGGGGTGTGATCTTTTCAACTCCAATTGAAGTGTTTTTTTTACTTTTAAGATTGAACTTTCATCTTTCATGTGATTAAGAGAACTTAAGTAAGCTGGGGAGAGAGCTCTTAAAAGCTGTTTGTTTTTTTTTTGTTTGTTTTAAATCAGGCTCAGGAGGCTGTCAGTCAAATAAAGGAGAGTGCTGTGGCCAACTATATGCAGCATAATTCCAAATCACGTTCGCCTCCATCCTCTAGAAATCATTTGTCAATGCATTACCTCATCCTAGCACTACTTCACAGCAGTATGCAAACTATTATAGCGTGCATGACTTACCATACTACTGGGGGTGAAAAGACTTTTAGATTTTTACAGGTATTAACCAACACAAAGTATAATTAAAAAAAAAAGTAATAGAAGTACTTTGCTTGACATTTTACATGCTGCTTATCAGTTTAAGTACTGTTCTGTGATTGGGAAGAGAAATTTAATAGCAGGAGACTACTTCTACAGAGCTTGTTGCTATTCTGGCAAAGATAATCTCAGCTTCTGTTCCTTCCTCTCTTCCCAGTGTCTCTATTTTACACTGTGCTGGAGAAACTTGTGTTTATTACCCTCCTAGAAGAGGAGCATCTTCAAGAGAGCATTATGGTGAACACCTATCCATTAGCACGGGAAAAAGATTTGAATAAATGTTTGCCATTTCCCTCTTTCTCCCACAGCTCAAGAATTAGAACACAGCTTGCATTTAACTGTTCTCCCTGCAATTTTAACTGCTGCTACCTTCCCCTGATCACAAGCTGGAAGAAGCTCACTGCTGGTTCAAACCAATGTTTGACAGCCTGCAGCTATAACTTGTGAAAAACCACCAGCCACTGAATCTGGATGAGAGCATCTCCAAGAAGGTGTTCAAGAAAACACATTCAATTTCAAAGGGAGAACAAAGAAAACAAACTAGGTAAAATACTTGAGACCTCATGATCACTCAGAATTTCAGTTACTTAAACTTTATTCCATCCCTTCAACAAATATGGAGAGCAGACTCCTTCCAATTCTAACAGCAAAAAAAAAATATGTACAATATAGCTTCAAAATACTGTCTCTACACTTAGAAAAGTAACACTGCACGTACTCCATGTTTCATTAATGCTCATAAATCAAGTTTTTGACTGAAAACTAACTCCCAGCATATTTTTTTCCTCTATATTCAATTGTTTCAGCCTCCAAATCTTTACAGATAGCCTTTCAAAAAGCCGTGCTTACCTTGTTTCCGTAGATTCCTCAGCTGTCTCCATAACTGGCAGTTCTTACATAGCTTTGTTAACAGCTTTCCAAGAGACTTATATATTAAGCTACTAAAACTATAATCTCTGTTTTTTTGGGGTGGGGATCACAGAAATTCCACAATCCAATATCAGCTTCATAAAACATTTTACTCCCAGAAGAAAAGGCCACCAGATCTTCCCACTTACACCTCTACAGAGAGCAGAATAAAGACCCACCCCCAAGCTCACCAACAGAAATGCCGACCTGAGCTGGCCAGGAAATGAGCTCATCTGGGTGATTTGCAGCCCAGAGCCACCTGTGTGTGCCACAACCTGGGGAAACATCATCTGCCACCAGCAGATTCTGCAAGCACCAAGGTGCTGGAAGAATCAGGAACCTTACCTGATTCAAAATACTTCTCTATCTCTGAGAAGACACTTCTCTATCTTGCAAATAAAGGTGCTCACTCACAGGTGGAGATCCCAGGAATAGTTGTTCCAATTGTAAATTACCTCATACCCCTCACCATCATTACAGGGATTGTTTTGTGTGGGTGCATGAGTGACAAGCTTTCTAACAGGATTATCCTTTTGAATCAGAAACTTTGCATGCTGAGGCTTCATAACAATTATTTTTTTACATATCACTGCTAATGCGTTACATTTTTGATTTCATCACTTTTACCAGTTTTTGAATAAGACCTGGCAAGTGCTATCAAAACAAATCTCAGATTGGTTTGCAGACGGGTCAGGTGAATTGCTGAAAGCAGTCATACATCTGTGGCTAGATGCTGACGTGACCAGGACAGGGAGGAACTGGCAGGACTGGCTTCTAATGATAAATGGTGTCAGAGTCACGAGAGAACAAAAGCCTTGGGCTATCTTAGCAGCATATAAGGAATTCATTAGGTGTGCAGTGTTATACTTTTATAAGAATCAATGGAATTTGTTTAACTGCTCTTACTATGAAACAACAAGCTGGGATAAGAGTACTAGACTTACGTTGTAATAAGCTGGAGATTATTTTAAAATTGACAGTGTTTGTACTTCTTTGGGCCAGCTATCTGCATCATGGCTTACTCAGCCATATGGACCTGCCAGTATAACCTAGCTTTAGTACAGGCGGTGTTGCACTCTGATCTGCTGCAACAGAGCTAACTGCCATCTCCTTTCTGACCAATGGTATTACTTATTTCTGTGGGATCTACACATGTTATTGTCAATATCTGTTCAGTGAGGGAAGTCTTGTGTACCTCTGGAGCCTCGGAGTAGGCCAAGGATGCAGTGGCATTAAATCACCCTGCTCCACAGAAATTTGGTCCTAAACTATAACTTTACACGATAGTAGCCTGGACTAATTCTTAAAGACCTGATCTTAAAGAGACCTCCTTTCAGCAGATGGATATTGTAAGGAACTAGGGTGGTTGAGCACTGTGAAAGCCAGCAAATATTTTTCATTCACCTGATCTTCATAAAGTTGTGCAGTTGAAAAGCAGGCCTATGCTTTAGATTCATCCCAGTCAAACTAGTTCTTTCAGAGATCATCTGGCACTCACTGCACCTGTTCCTTACACTGACCTAGATGATTTAGCATAACCTGCTTGTCTCCATCTCCAGTGCCCCCAGCCAAACAGCAGCCAAAACTACATTAGTTTTGCTTGGCATTAACTCAAAGTGTAATCATAGTTGAAAAAGTCTTCTAGAAGTGCTCTTAGCATTTTTAATGCCTCAGGTTTTTAATGAAAGAATCCTTACTGAATTCGTAAATAGGCTGCCTAATGAGGGACAAATGGTTGTTACCACCCCACACAAGTGAAAAAGCACACTGCAGCTGCACTGCATGGCTTGTTGGCAGGGTAACAGAACCAACCATTCTCAGGTTTCCCACTGCAGGAGTTTTTAGAAAGGCACAATGGATCTCAAAGGCTAGTTCTTCACACCTCCATTGTTCCAGAATCCTCTGCTCTCTTTAGTACAATTTCATCTACACTTACTTTATATATTGATATGTGGAATCTAATTATATGCATGCAGCCATTAAACTTGGTATTTAAGTTTGCACACTAACATTCTATTCTATATTCAACGCATACTATTGCTTCTATACTTGTTTGTGTTTTCAGGAAAAACAAACAAACACTGAGACACAGAGCAATTGTAAAACATTACTGTACCAGAGCCCCTCATACCTTTAACGCTACCTTTAGGCTTGGCTGTGTCTGCCTTAGCAAGTGATGCAGCTTTGCAGGATGCACACAGAATGAAATAGCTCTTCCAAATGTCCAGGATGTGTTTTAGATAGATTTTTACTTCTGATTTGATAGGACTAAATTACAGGAGAAACTGAGAGACAGTTCATTAGTGTTCAACCAAGAACCGGCAGTAAGAAGAAAACATGAAGTCTCCTTTGTACTAAGACAACCATAATGAAGCAAATGATGCAATCATACTGATTAAAAATAAAGGATGTACATTAGAAACCTGTATCCCTGTGTTAAAGTTACAAAAATGCTATTTCTTTATAAAGATTTGGGGAAAACCACCATATAAAATCCATTCAAGCATCAGAAGTCCACAATAAATGTTATCTTGCAATTCTACTCTTTATACACTGTAACTGCAAAAAAGACGTACAGTAAATTAATGCTTTGCTGCCATTTGCAGGATCAACAGTTGAGGTCTACATTGGTAGCCTTTCCATGGTGGTTGGTAGTTGCTAAGCCTGACAGCCACACGTTCTACTATATTCATAGTATTCAAAAATTAATTTTCTAAGCATTGTGGGTTAGGGGTTTTTTTGTTATTTTTTTTTCCTCCCAACCTGTGGCCAACAGCGAACATGGATAATTAGTAGCTTTCTACAATCTTCAATGCATATAAATACAACTAAACTGGTATTTGGTTCCTAAAATAAGCAGTAAATGCTTTCACGGGCAGTCTCTTACATATGCCTTTAGTATCTTATATAAAGTATCTCTTTAGCAATAAAAAGCTAACAAATGCCATGATTAAGCCAAGTAGTTTGGTAACGTATGTAATAATTGACTAAAACTGTTACTAATTCTTCTATTTTATAAAATACATAAGCAATAGGATTTTGAGCATTTCAAACTCAGTTTTGGAAAAAAATAATGCAAAGGGAAACTGCATACTGGACCTCTGGCTTCTGTTTTCAAAGCATTAGTTCAATACTGAGGGCTGAGGACTGTGCTTCCTAGGACATGATAAACCTTTTTCAAGTGAAGATAGAGGAGTCATTCACTGTGAGGAGAAAAAAAAATAAATACATCAGAAGAGTTACAAGATATGAAGAGACCAATAAACGATAGGGAAAACTTAAACTGAGACTTTTTACACCAAGCTGATACAATTATGGCACATCTGTACACACATTGTGAGTCAGCACAAGTTTACATAGCAAACAGTTGGCTATCACGTCACAGGTGGTGATGAGATAGCACAGATTACAAAATGAAACAGAGGTGATGGAGTCATTCTCTTCCTTCTGCATTTTTCTATACTTCAGGCTGACATATAAATGAAAAAAACATTTTAGTTATTTCTGCAAATTTAGCAGAGGACTTGGATTTGGGCAGTGTTTCCTAACTAATCTGGTAAACTAGTCCTAGTAAACATGCTGTGCTTTCCAGAGTTGGTGAGACTTTCACGGTATTTGGCTCTCATATCTCCGTATTCTCAGTATGGCCCAGCACTTCCCTGCTGAAGTGGACACGCAGTATATTGTTATGTAACATTTGATCTGAGATACAATTTGTTTTAGCTTTAAAATTAGCATAGACAATTCTATAAGATTCATTTCTGAAGCACTGATTGGAGCATGAAGCATAAACACACAAAAGTGAGCTGAAAGTAAAAAACAGTTAGCTGTCATAAGGTAAATAACAAGTGCTTGGGAAGCAACAGCATGGCTTGATTTCTATTCAGCATATTTTTTCAGCCTTATTTTGCTTTAGCACCAAACCCTGCCTATATATCCATATAGCTATATAATCTTTACTGCTCTCTTGCTAGGTTGGGAGCTGCCTGCTTCTAGCACTCTGTGCTGCTGTTCAGTTGTCAAAACTACTTAAAAATCCAGACCATTTGCAATGTTCAATAACAAGCTAAATGATATTATTATATTAATTTTTGCTGTTTGGAAGCTTTATTATTGTTTTTTTCCTATGGAAGAGTAAACAAGCATCATTAACTTCAAAATTTTTATTAACAAGTTCAGAAGGACAAAAGTAACATGGATTTCAACAAAACAGAAATCAACCTTGTAATAGAAGAGCTGCAAGGAATATGAACTCCTAGAAACACTGAACACTTAAATGATCTCAGAAATACTGAGTTTTCCATCCTGTAGAAATTAGCACGAGCCCATTTCTCTTTATTACAGTACAACCTTGCTTGTAAGTACTTGTAATATTGCACATGGTAAATTTTTCTAAAGAAAATATTAGGCTTGAGTTTTCACTGTTCGATTCTATACAAAAGATCAAGCAGTTCATCAATGTTTGTCAGCCTTGTGCTCAGAGCAAATTGTTTCCATCCATACGTGATGTAGGTCAAACGTCAGACGTAGAAAAAGTCCATATACAGCATACAAACTATATACAGCACAAGCCACGTCTTCGACCACATACAGAAAAAGATGCATACAAAACCAGTTTCCCCAGCACTGCATGATGCAAGAGTTAATACAAAGGGTATCATTTCTACCTGCCACAAACTTCATCACACAACTGCATAAGTATATAACATCTTTTGAGCCATTCTGGTATTTCCACTGCTGTGATAAATAAGTGACAAGTTAAAGGCAGTATCTCTTCTCAAGTCTGTCTGATCGGTTTCTATTCCCTGTAAAAATAATAAAAAGTTATCTATATGCAAAGATGGTGTAAAAGTGAGACTTAAGTAGCTATTACAGTGCAATCTAATCACATATTACTAGTTTACGCAGACACTCAGGTGCATAGAAACTAAAGCACTATTTCTTGTGCCATCCCTTCATAATGAGCTTCCACCTGCTGTTAATCACTGAAGAATTGTACTTGTGATATACTCAAAATATTAGCTGTAAATTAGGTAGCCAAATCATAAAACAGTAAAGCATTATTCAAATTTGTATTTGTAGGTAACATTTCTGTCTATAACCAGAATATGAATGCTGCTTTATCTTTTATGTCATCAAAACAATGCTGCTTTGAACTCCCAATATCAACTATCACCAACCTTTTTTCATTTACCAATCTTTCCCATTGTAATTTTTCTACCTGCTCATGCCAAAGCTAGGCAACAAACTTCCAGTCAATCTATATTGCGTGCAGTGTTTCATAAGTTCAGCTATTCAGGTAAAGTTTGGCAACCTTTTTTTTTGCTGCTAATTCAAGCCTATTAGTAAATCCCCCAAAATGTATGTCTTTGAAATTAACACATGCATAACTGCAAAACAGGTAACAATCAGATCCGGGTTTTCACTGTCAGAGAATTCCAACACAAATTGTTCTCGACTACACAGATCCTAAGTACTTAACTATGGCTGAGAAATTAACATTGACCTGACCACTTGTAGCATGCAGCTCACAAAGATACGGTACCTCCAAGGTGAGAGGAGGAAGCTCAAGTACTTTTTGGTAATAGTGGATTGCCAGATGCAGTAGCCCCAGCTGATGAAGGCCGCGGCCAAGGTTGTAGAAAGTTTCTTGACATGGTCCACGTAGGTCCAAATAGCGGTGAAGGAAGGAGAATCCCTGTATACATTTTATGCACATGGTAAATGTTCCCGTTAAGAACACAGCTATAAAACATACTGGAAAAAAGGTGTTTTAACGCACGTGTGGTCTGGTCATCGTCAACGTCTATATGATGCGAAAAAAAATGAATGGCATTAGACCAGAACTGCCTCCAATACAAACAAAAGGAAAAGATAGAGTATTAGTGTGTTTTGCTTTACATTTTACACTGAACGAGTCTTGTGGAAAGCTTAGGAAGAATAAGTAGAAGAGAGGAATTCAGAAGGGAAAAAATTGGAGCAGAGTTTTTCATCCTCTCCCGTGCAGAAACTTACATTTATTTCTATTAATGCTTTGGTTTATTGGTTCCATTGCTAACAGTGGCCTTTCTTTCAGCAATTGTGTTGGTAGACAGAGAAGATAGCTCTGTCAACATGAGGAATTAGTTCAGAAACTAGCAGCTAATTATCTTGCTTTATGTCACTAGTGTGTTCCTGTGGCTGAATTATTAATCAACTACAATAGGAGCAGGAATGGATGTAAAAATAAACTGTCATAAAAGCAAATACTGAGAGAGAAAAACAGGGAAAAGTATCACCAGAGGGTAACATAAATAGGACACGTTGTAAAGGAGAACACAGTAGCCCGGATAAGAAGGGCAAGCTAACTACAGAAAGAAGTGTCTGAAGATACTAAAATTAGGCCAAAGTTTGAAAACTTAAAATACTCTAAGTTGGATACTAACATAATTGGTCTTGTTTTAGAGAGATCTGTAGCTTTTGTCACAACCTAAGTAAAAGCCAAATTCTTAAAAGGCTAGAAATATATGAGAGCTTAAGGTCCCAACCACATTCTGCTGACTCTGAGCTCAGAGGCCACAGGAGTTAAAAGGAATTTCAAGTTAATGACAAATGTTGAAGGAGAGTACAAGGAATGACTTTCAAGATTCCATTTGGGCATAATCAGCCTGTGGTTTGTAACTGCATCTGGCAGATGAAAGAAAAATATGAATAAGAAAGCTGAAAAACTGAGGGTAGCTTAAATTGGAACTTGTGAGATCTTTGCAATGAGAGATATACAGAGGCACCAAAAAGAGGAAGAGAAAAAGATGACAGAAAAAAAAACAACCACATTTAATGTCTTCTAAGTCTGGAAAGTTCTAAGAAAACTATGGAGTTTATGGGTCATGTCCATTTAGGGTATGTGGCATAGATTCTACTCTGCAGCACCTCTTCAAAGCTGAATAATAAGTTTAACTAAGCAAAAAGAAAAATAAGGAATAAAATCCAATCTATAGTCATTGAGAGTGGAATTAGTAATGTTTCACAAACACTGGTGGCTAGTAATATAACCACTGTGTAAATACACAGAACAAGCTACCTTTATGTAAGAGAAGATCAGATTCAGCCAAAACATAGTTCAGAAGCATACTCATCTGTATTTGTGTTTCACTATTTCTCTTTTGAAATGCTGTATTAATTAGGAGCCATTATTTACACATAATATGTTACAGTCCCACCTGTCTATAAATACAAAGCCAGGACACACTATAGGTAAAAATCATCATACTAATTTACCTGTACCAGAAGAGCATGCCTTTTCAACACGTATTTCTGAGAAGCCATGTGGATGAAGGTTAAGCCAATACAAAGACTGTAGAGAGGTTCATCTGGGTTTGCACGAAAGGCTTGCACGTACTGTCCTAAAAGCAAACAGCAAATTTAAAGTGTGAGCTACAAAAAAAAAAAAAAAAAAAAAAAAAAAAAAAAGGTTTAATATTCCTACTTAAAAATATACATGAAAAAAAATACCACTAAGAACTGGTTACATTTTCAGCACTCCTTGGATTCTGAAGGAAGAATACAAGCTGTGAGGTAAAAATGTAAACAAAAAAGTATCAGGCACAGAAAGCAAACAAGGTCCTTTCTAGGATTTACATCTTCAATGTGTGGAGAATTAATACTGCATGCAACAGACAGGTTTTGGAAGTTCAGTTTCATTATTTTGGTTAAGCTGTCTGTTTATGCAGTTGAAATAAAGACACAAAAGAACAATTATTCCCAAATATATTAAACAATGAAAAACAAACCAAACAAGTATTATTTAAAAGCATTGAAAAGATAAATGACACAGTGACATATTACTGTCTCTAGTACAGTGTGACCCTTCGGCCATGACTAAGGCTTTCATGCATTACTATGAAAACAAATAATTGTTGCTACTGAACATCAATGGAACACACATCTCCATCTCCAACACATCTCAATTATGACACTTGGAGGCATCTTAAAACAACAGGCTTACTTCCAAGGCATGTTTAAGATGTCCAATCAACACTATTTGCTATTTCAATTATTCTGGTTTTGTCTTTCTTGATCTGTATTACCATTAGCCCACTTATCTTTACAAGTTGGTTATCTTTGCAACGCTACTAAACTTGAAAAAAAATCAGCTTCATTTTTATTAGGAAAACTGCACTGATGCTTTGATTTGGTACAATCAAACTATCAGGTTAATACTATGAAGCCACACAGAACTTTCTGACATATGAAAAAATGACTGTTTCTTCTGTTAAAAAAAAAAAGGAAACAAAAAACAGGATACACTTGTATTTGTTAAAATTAGAAGATTAATGACATTACCAAGAGCATGCTTGAAGCTGCCAGATACAAATGCATTGTGCCCATTTAGGACACACAATGCATGATTATCAGGATTTTTCAGCATTAAGCGGAGACAAAAGCGATGGTGACGGACATCCTGAGATTGCATAGTAACTTGATTGAAGATGTTCCACAGCTGAGGTTTATTGACATTTTCCATTACCATTATTCTATAGAATGAAAACCATACGAGAAATTAGTAAATGCTACACAGTAAATAGTACACCTGCAATAAAAACAGCTTAAGAGACTGAGGGAAAGCTGGCGATGAAAGACAGAACCAAGGGTTTTAGACTAATCAAATTACCTACTGCATTATATTTATTTTGTAATCAAAGGCCATCAGAAACTCCTTCTGCTTTAGTAGCTTATCTGTTTCAGGGAAAGCTGGAAAGCATTAACCTACGTCCTTCAGAAATTCAGCAGTACAACTAAAGCCCTGGAGGAAGTAATTAGAGAACAGATTGCCCTGCCTTCTAGTTCCCTACCTGATATAGTTGTATGCTTTTCTGAAATTCTTATCCAGGATTGCAGCAGAAAGCCCAAAGTATTCCAGCTCCTTGCGCTTCTGTCTGTCATCGTAAAATGAGTAATATTCTAATGAGGAATCTACTAGTAGCTCAGCCTCCTTGTAGCGGGAGAGGTCACACAGGGAATATATAGCCTTCAGGAGAAGGTTCCACCAGTCATCCTTTGTCAAAACACTCGTGAGAACAGCAAAAATCGCTAAAAATATTGAAGGCAGTACGTCAAGAAAATTGAAACAAGAGAGAAAACCTTTTTTTTAAAAAAAAGCACACAAAAACATGCATACTTCAAACTGATCTTTTAAGAAAAATCTCAGCATTAACTGGCAAAATAGAAGTAAATCATTCACTTTTTTTTCCTCTGTTTAAGAGCAGTTTACAAAATGCAAACAGAAAACAGGCAAAACTGGGAACAAACGATAAAGAAATACATTTTGAGTTGTAAACACAGCACAGGAATGCATTAAAGTCACTCCTCTTCATCTTTCAAACAGTGCTTAAGAAACTGTAGTCTGGTTTAACTAAGTCTGTTCAGTTCAGTAATCACACGGCTCTTAAGAGATAGAACATACGTATTGCTGTTGTCTTCTAGAGCTGCATGCATTATGCATTTGTGCTGAGAGGAATGCTGGGACATAAGGTCTCTATATGTCCTTCTCTATCTAAATTATTCAGTAATTTTATTATTTTTCTCTGAATGGGCATTGTTCCCTGAAGCTATATTAACCTCACATTTGCTGCCTTCCTTGTCCTAGAAATACAACGACATTTGCACGGATTCAGCATGCAAAATAGTAACATTTGTTTCATTTTCAGGATAAAGAAGTTAATCTTGTTGCTTTGTTTTTAATAAACATTTGTTACCTTTTGCATCACAGTTCGCTGCCTCCTGGTCATCATTGTCGGAAATTTTATTCCTTGGCACTTTAATAAGGTAGAGGTGTCTCTCTCCAGACTTGGAGCTAGATATCAAACACACCTGAGCTCTGCTCATTGCTACCTAAAGACAAATTTAAAGGCAGCATTTCAAATCACATTAATAAATCCTATCTCAGATACAGCGTTATGACCATGCTCACATGGCCTGCTAAAACAGTCTGCTGCTTAGAAATGCCACAACAGAGCAAGATCACACAAGACAACATTCCCAATAGGTATATTATCCCTGCATTGTCTCATACTTCACTGCAAACTGAGCTATGCAGAAGGAAGACAGAAACTCTTCCAATGACTTTAAGACTTCTCCTGGGATTGGAACATCCCTGTGTATATTCAAATCAAAACTATTTGCATAGAGGCAGAACAAAAACGACACCATTCTGTCAGTATCAATTCTAGAAGGATGTGGACGGTCAGCTGTTCAGACAGTGTAATAGAATAGAAATGGCTCTAATGGATAAAATCACGGTTTAAATATTCCCCTCCCTCATTTCTGAGTGAAAGAAGGGAAAATAACAAAATAACACAGATAACACCGCTGTATTTGTTAACTAAATAAATTCTTCCCTGCTCATTAAATAACATGATAGATTACATAATTTAAAATGAAGTTATTAAAATACAATCTAGTATCTAAACAAAAGTAAATCTGAAAAAAGCATTATGTTAACTTCTAAATAGATAAGAAGCAACTTTAGTACTTGGCATGTTCTCTGTATATTCAGAAATAGGGAGTTGAAATCAGTGTATTGATAATTATACTCACAAATGATGCTCTGTTCTGAAGAGCAGAAACAACAGCATTACAGGCCCCAAGAATTAGTAGGCTCTCTGCAGGATTTCCATCCAACAAAACTATGAAAACACTTGCATATCAAAACCACCAGTTTTCTTCCTGAGTTTGTTTGTCTCTTGTCTTAACCCAACTTGTAGTTGCCCAGTTTGGTGAAGCATAATTGCAAAAACAGGCTTACCTTCAACAGCATTGCCAGCATTGTCAGTAAAGTGTCTACATAACCGTACGTTTTGCCTTGGGAATACAACAGCGTAGACCGATGGAGGAGTAACTTCAATTCCTAGGTAACATCAAATATCATTATTCAACCACTCACAAAGACAGAATTTATGAAACAAACAATTATTTACGCAACACAGAATTAATAGAATTGTAAAATCTGCTAGAAAACTGCATGTGTCAATCTCTGGTCCTACACCTTTAACATCTTTGAATACTACTATACTCTGTCATATACCATATCCTAAACTGGCAGCAAAGAAAACACCTTGCTCACCTGCTGGGCAGCATTAGCATCCTGAGCCAGTGTATCTGGATCATACATTTGTTCCAGAGCCTCCAGAGCTTTCTCAGGCCGGCCCAGTTGCTGCTGTAGTGTTGAAAGTGAGATTCTTGCATCCAGATGCAATGGAGCAAGATCAACAACCTTAGCATAGCTCTCTGCGGCACGCTCCATGTGTCCCAAAGCCTTCAAGCACTCTACATATACCATACAAAACACCATACACTTAAATGGCAGAAAAAGAAGATTAAATGCTAGGAAAATAGTTAACATATTTTCCAGATGCTCTTCCAGTTAAAACCACTCAAAACATGTATTATTAAAGTGAAAATATTCAGAAATAAGCACTGATGCATCTATAGATCCACTTAAGCATCATCAGTTGATACAAAATGGAATGCAGAAGAGATGCTGTTCATTTAGACGAAAATAAAGTATTCGTAGCTGAAGGTAATTTCAGTCCACAACAAGGACAAAACCCTCACGGCAGGGTTGTCATAGTAAACTCCAGTTATAGTTTTGCAAATACAAATTACTGTTCAACGTGTGTACCTAAATTCCAGTGATCTTAGATAAAGTTCCCTGGAAATGCTCAGCACTGTACTACCATCTCTCAGTACCGTATTTTCAGCAGCCCCCCCTTAACCTGCATGCCGAAGCCAGACGACAGCCAAGTTGTATCGTTCAGAACAGACGAGGGCACTCAAGAGAGGCAGGGCTGAGTTGTATTCTCCAACATCCAGAAATGCCTCTGCAACGTCCAAATACAAGTCACCCATTTCTTCTGGATTTTGTTCCACCAGAGTGGTCAAAAGAGGCTTTAAAAGCAAGCAAGAAAACAAAATGCTAAAACCCACAAATAGTCACCAACAACACTGCTTTAAGATCTGCTTTCAGAAGCTCATTTTCATGCTATAATTTTTATGCAGTTTGCATTTTGAGCCATAGTTCTTTCACTTCAATATTACTTCAGAAGTGAAAAATAACAATTTGAATTTCACAATTGCTGAAAAAAGCTACATTTTACTATTCCAGACATTTTACATCCTACTCATTCATATCCTTCATAAGAACAGTAAGATCTATTAGGACTTGAAAACAAAGTCAAGGTATATATGTTCCTTAGTGTTCCAGACTTGGTAGCGTAGTCCCAGGCCTAACATAGCCCACAGTCTTTCATTTACTGTCCCTTGGAAATATTTCCAGCTGAAGGTGTAACATAAGGACAAAAATGACATTTCTGCTATCAGAGGTTTGCTAGTCGTCTGTCTTGGAGTGGGAAGAAAGAAAAAAGAATCCCCAAAACCCTCTCAATGACCTCAGTCATATGAAGACAGGAAAAAAATCATTTGCTTTGTTAATTTATCCCCTGACTTCTGAGTTTGTTTCTACTTACGTTGAGAGGCTCTAGGATGTTCAAGTGTACCAAGCACACCATCAGCTTGACTGTGATGTCTATGGGAACCCCTTCAGGTATACAGCAGCTAACCTTCTCCACAGCTGTGCAAAGAAGAAAAAATTTCTCTCTGAGCCCTCAAGCTTTAACAAGCATTTCACAGAGCTCCACATCCTCTCCAAACTACAGTGAGCTACAAAGAGAATACTCAGACTCTAGCAAATGTTGGTGTAGGCCTGCCCTGTTCCCTTCTTTTGTAACTTACCTGATAGCTGGAAGAAGTTCTTTCTCATCTCTCTGATCCTTACCATTTTATCTGAAATATCAAGGATCTGTATGATGTGTTGAGAGTGTTCCCCCTCTAGGCTTGTTTTGTAAAGCCTTTCTTTAGCAATATAGGCACCCGTACCCTCTTCTCCTCACTTTCTCTAGGAAATATCCTGTATTAAGCTATTTTTCCCTATTAAACTAAGTGCTGTGTATCAAGGACCTGGCTGTACACGTATACAGTTAGATACAGATAACTACAGAACATTATGTTACACACAGAACAAATGCAATCTGATAGAATGAAAGCATGAGTTCTAGCAAACTGGTACAAACTTTCCTATTGCATTTCCTGCACATCCAGTCACTACACATCCAAAGCACTCTGTTCAAGTTCTCCTTTACCTTAATTCTTACACTGCACATTTAAAGGGTGACCATTAAAACCTGATAAAATAGTCATTTCCAACGTAAGGCTTCCTATGACCTTCTACATCTACATACAGTTACAGCAAATCACAGCAGATTTGCAGATTAATTCATCATTCTCACCCAGCACGAGAGTAACCATTCACCTACTGGTAAATTCACACAGAAATGAAGAATTTTATTTTCAAATGGGTAAGTCCTGAGATAATGTTTTGACTTTGGTAGCTGGATGCATTAAAAGTAAAGACGACAGTATGCAAGGAACCTTTCCTGGATCAAGCCCTATTTCCCTACTGCTAGAAACTCTCATGATTTTGCTATGATTCCAACCTGATTCTTGAGTATATGATCAGTTCATAGATTTGTACAGATTCAGCAACTCAGCTACTTACCTGCAGCGCTCGATTCAGCAGCCGGATCACCTTGTTTGTCAGTCACTGCCTTCTGGCTTTCCTCAGTTTCTACCACTGCTGCTGCATCATCTTAAGGGAAAGAGATTACTCTTAGTAGCACCGGCTAAGCCAAAAATTACTTAATTCCAGTCAAGTGTGGATTATATCTATGATGGGTTTGGACTCTATTACTAAAACAACTGTCCTGTTCAATTACAGAACGGACTGCTACAGAGCTGGTACACTGTGATCACTCTACAGCCCAAACAGAAACAGCTTTAGACTTGAGCCATGGTTTTCATAAAACAGATTTCTTAAAGAAGACCTGTTTTACTCAAGTCAAAATTGCAGACAAATACACCTAGATATTTGTGTATCACAAC